AATTTTTGTTACATTCAAATATGACCAAACTCAATGCAACTAATGGATACATCATGATTTTAGAAAATTTTAGAAAAAAAACATCAAATTTGGAGCATGTATGTGGGAGTAATACTAGTTACAATTTTTTGCCAAAGATCAAAAAAAGAAATGAGCTTTGCACAATGAAGGCCTAAATACTATGAAGGCCCCACCTGTCATAGAAAGTTTGCTCCACTAAGACACAAATGTGTTGAGGCCGGCCACATCTGGCCACCTGCTCCTCGCCGACCACCCCCACCTGCTCCATAGCCGACGACCCCTATCCCACCTGCTCCTCGCCGGCGACACCCTACCCCACGTGCTCCTCGCTGGGGCTCGATGAGCGCGCGCTAGGGAGCGACCGCGTGAAGCTACTCCTCCTCTCAGGTCCCAGCGCGCTGACCTCGACTGCTCCCTCGCCTAGATGCCTGCTCCTCCTCTCAGGTCCCAGCGTGTCGCCGGTCGGCTGCTCCTCGACCGTGTGGTTGCTGCAGCCAAGCCGACCAGAGCAGCTGCTATAGCCTCGCCGGCTAGAGGAGCTGCTGAAGCCTCACCGGCCACCACAGCTGGTGCATCTCTGGCCGGCCAGAGGAGCTGCTGAAGCCTCGTAGCCCAGCCCATCTGCTTGCCACTGGCTCGGCAGCCATTGTTCAAGGTTGATTTTTCAACATATATGAAGCATAAACATAATTTGTCCACATCATGATTTTTAAATTCTTGGCACTTACATTGTCTAGATGGATAGGAGCTGGGTTTATAACAGTGCACCATTTACTCCCGCCTATATGGATGGTGTTGAGCAGTTCCATGGCACATGTCGAGCTAGATATAGGCCTCATGAGGAAATCAAGTGCCCATGCCGCAAATGCCCGAACCAAAGAGATAAAAGTCAAGTTGAGGTACAAGAGCATATAGAAATCAATGGTATTTCTAAAATGTACACAAGTTGGATTCACCATGGAGAGGGAGATAATGATGTTGTACAAGATGGAGAACTCCCCTGTTGTACTGAAGATATGTCATGGGATGGAAATGACCAGGCTCCACTTGATGATGAAGGACAAGCTGAAGATGTCATATTAGATGATAGTGAATGGGGAGTTCAGGGTTTGATTCAAGATCATGACACATGACAAGCCATGGCGTCGGTGCCAACTTATATAAGCAAATCATGGAAGAGGCAAAGCGTGAACTTTATCCAAAGTTGCACCGAGGAGTCTAGGCTAAGTTTCATTATTAAAATGCTGCATATAAAAGTGTACAATCGGATAACAAATTTCTGGGTTTGATGCAATGCTTGAGTTGCTTTCAACATCATTCAAAATGTGACCGGCCTCCCTAAGTCCTATAATGAAATGAAAGCTCTACTGGAAGCTTGGTTTTGGTTATGTTTCTATTCATGTGTGCAAGTATGATGTGCCTTATTTTGGAAAGACCATGAAGAGGATGATCATTGCCCAGTTTGTGGCTTCACAAGATGGAAAGTGAACAAGGAGGGCAAAAGAAAGTTCCTCACAAGGTCCTCCGTTACTTTCCAATAATTCCACGCCTCCAAAGGCTTTTTTATCTCAAAGCAATGGGCACAATATGCAAGATGGCACAAGGAAAAGAGGGTAGCAGATTGAGAATGAAATGAGACATCCTGCATTGATGGAGAAGCTTGGAAAGAATTTGATGATACTTTCAAGTCTTTTTGCAGATGATCCTCGCAGATTTGAGGCTTGCCATTGCTATTGATGGATTTAACCCATTTGGTCGATGACCAATTCATATAGCATTCGGCCAGTGATAGTGGTTCCATACAATTTTCCACCATGGATGTGTATGGACCAATCCAATTACATGCTTGCTTTACTAATTCCTGGCAAAAAATCACCGAGCAAAGATTTCCATGTGTTCATGCAGCCTTTGATAGCAGACATGCTAACTCTTTGGAATGGTGTCCCTACTTATGATGCATATGAAGGCAAAGACTTCAGTCTGCGTGCAGCGATTCTATGGGGAATCCATGACTACCCTGCATTAGGTACCATGTCAGGCAGAAGCACTAAGGGTTACTTTGCATGTGTGCACTGTGATGAGAATCCATGCTCCGAATGTCTGACCAACAAAATTGGATTCATAGGCCATAGACGTTTCCTCCCAAACAACCATCCGTGGAGGAAAAATAGATCTTTCAATGGCCACCATGAAAATAGGGAGCAACCAAGGAAATTTAGTGCAAATGAGGTTATGGCAAGGTTGGATGAAGTTTGCTATGTTCCTGGCAAGAATCCAGATAAGCCGAAATCAAGAAAACGACGCCATGGTGGAGAACCAGTATGGCATCTGAAGGTTAGCTTGCATGATTTGCCATACTGGTCAAAATTGAAGCTACAGTACAACCTTGATGTTATGCACATAGAGAAAAACATATGTGAAAACATTTTGTCAACTCTACTTAATATTCCGAACAAGACAAAGGACACAATTGTTTGCTAGAGTAGATTTGGAAGAAAGAGGTATAAGAAAAGAGCTTCATTTGTTAGATGACACCTGGTGATGCATCCTCAAAGCCAAGAGCTTGTTACGTTCTAACACCGAAGCAAAGAAGAAGTTCTTGCAATTTGTGAGCAATGTTAAGTTTCAGATGGCTATGCCTCCAATATATCAAGATGTGTCAATATGGAGGAGGAGGATCAATGCATGGGCTGAAAACACATGACTCATCATATACTATCGCGCAGCGTATTTTACCACCGGTGGCCTTCGTGGTTTGGTGCGAAAAAGACGATATGAAGTAATTGCTGAGTTGGGTAGGTTTTTTAGACAACTTTGCTCAAAAACTCTAAAGGTTGATGCACTAAAACAAATGAAGGAAGATATTGTGCTTATTCTTTGCAAGCTAGAGAAAATTTATCCTCCTGCATTCTTCGATGTTATGGTTCACCTAGCAGTTCACTTACCTGATGAGGCACTCCTTAGGGGACCGGTGCAGTATGGATGGATGTACCCCATTGAGAGAAGATTGGGCACCTTTAAGCATTTCGTCCGTAATAAAGCAAGACCTGAAGGTTCTATTGCAGAGGCATACACTGCCTATGAGTGTATGACCCAGTGCTCAACATATTTCAGTGACATTATTAATAGGTTCACAAGGCCTGAAAGATACTTGGATGGAGAAAAGAACATCTCACCCAATGGTTACTCTATTTTTGGTCATGGTGTTAACCTGTTGGGTGCTTCAAAACTTCATTATGAAGACAAAGACTATGACTCCATGGTTTGGTTTGTTCTAAATAACTGCGAAGAGGTTGATGAATACAAAGAGTGAGTAATTGTTGTAATTTCATTTGAGCCATCTTTATTCAAAACAAGTGTCACAAAAAGACTAACTATCTTCTTCCTTTGCAGCATGTATAGGGCAGAATTAGAACAACAGGAGGTCAACGATGTTGAAAAAATGATGTCAACACAATTCGCTGCATGGTTTGAGAATCATGTGTGTGCAGCTTCTACAACATGACTTAATAATTTATGATACAATACACTCTGAAACTCAATAATTTTGTATGTTTACAACCTGCAGATTACGAAATTGAAATATGAAGGCACAACACATGTTGATGAAGACCTGTACTCACTAGCATGTCGGCCGGATCCGTGAGTGCGTTCATACATAGCCTGCATAATCAATGGGGTACGGTACCACACTATGGCTCGTGACGAACACAAGAAGACACAGAACTCCACCATCAAAACTGCAGGTACTCATGGTGGTGACACAATTGACTTCTATGGGACAATCACAGACATTATTGAGTTGAGTTACAGTAAGAACAGCAAAGGGCATAGAACTGTTATCTTATTACGGTGCGAATGGTACAATCTAGAGGGAAAGACATACCAGCTGAAAGATGATGGTTACTTCAAGAGCATAAATAGCCAAGGCCGATGGTATAAGAATGATCCTTTCATTATAGCCACTGATGCTTCACAAGTATTTTTCTTGGAAGATACAAAGTTAGGTCCATGTTGGCGAGTGGTACAAGAATTTGGCCACCGACATATATTTGATGTTGAAGAGACCGACACAAATCAACCAATCCATGAACAAGTACAGATGAGATGTTAGGAGGCATACCAAGAGGAGCATACTTCATCAAGAGATGGTGCAGTGGGAGACATTCATCCTGATATGGATTTGTTGCGCATGGATAATGAACCAGGCAGCCCTGTTAGTAGAGACCTCGTCGAGAGCACCCGTCGACAAAAACATACAACTCAAGGTGATGAAACATACGGCGATGATGAAGATGAAGATGAAGATGAAACCTACCTTGAGTACCATAGTCCTAAAGAAGGCAATACTTCAGGAGAAGACAGTGATGATGACTGACCTTTGCATTTCTGGAGATTTGTGAACCATGAACTTTTCTATTATTGATATTGTTGTATTTGAATTATGCTACTACATTTATATCTGAATTATGAAATTGTAAGACCTTATATGCAATGACTCTGTTTTCAGTGGATGGAAGTTACAGTGCCCAGATTTCATTCACATGATGCAAGTTATATATAGTGCCCAGACTTCATTCACATGATGCAAGTTATATATAGTGCCCAGATTGTTGTGTTTTCATGACACATGATAATGTCATGTAATGCCCAGAATCTATCATGGAATGTACAGAATCTGTCACAAAATGTATAGCCTAGAAGTTACAGACATGCTGCCAAAAAATCATTCCACACAAGTAAATCATCATAAGCAAAAGGGATCTTTATTTCCAACATACATCAGAAATGTACAGGTTACACAAGAGAAGTCCAAGAGCACGAAGGCCCATATTTTCATACCAACTACAAATACATCCTGGACAGCAGGTTCACTACATGTCCTAGCTAGCCTACTTCATCATCATAGCCAAAAGCATATCAAATGTGGCAAACATATCCAACCCACTTCACAGCATGTCCTGCTACATCATCATTGCCTACTTCAACATTACAATTACAACCAAAAGAATGGCCAGCACCAGGAATGTTACATTCAGACAACCACAGACAAGACAAATGCAGCTTCCCATGCCTTCCCTGTTCTTGCCAACCATTTCCTTCACCTTGTTCAGACTCTGCTCTAAGCTATCAATTTTTCCAACAAGCTCAGGAACTTCAGTTGTCGAAGCTGGTGCAATGGTAGAAGCAGCTGATGGTAGATAACCATTATCAAGAAGGAACACCACATATTCTTCCTCAAACCAATACCTAGCACATGTCCCCTGCATCCAAATTTAAACAACAGGGAAATTAAAATCAATACACTACATCAACTGAATGCTAAAAACACTACCATTCTCAAGCATGCTCATTCAAACAAGATTGAAATGATTATAACAATCGACATTTTGATAGTTCTTCCTAGGGCACTTGAAATATCTCTTTCCAAAGTTCAACCTGATTGCGTGGTATTGGCAAAGAAAGACCCTAACATCCTTGCAACTGGGCACATAATCAACGGCAACCCGCTCACATCATCAATCGGCGTCTCTAGATCGACGACCGTGGGCGGAGGAGCTGCAGCAACAACAACAAGGGGTGTGGGTTGCAGGGCAACCCTAGCTGCGCTAGACCGCCTAGTGCAAGTGGTAGATGATGATGCCCGAGACATGAGCCCTGATTGATACACAAGAAATTGATTAGGAATTGCACATTGGATTGATGTGAGAGCAATGAGCAGAAGAAAGAGGAACGGGAGGGGATGAGGGTGCCACAGCCGAGCAAATGGAGGCGAACGGGAGGGATTGATGGCGACATCGCCCACCATGCGCCACCACCTACCAACCTCGAGGCAAAGTGGCGACGTTCATCGGTGATCTGCGCTCGCCGACCGTCCTAGCGGCGGATCTCGCTGCTGCCTCAGCCATTGCCTCGCCCGTTACTCGGGAGAGGCGAGCCGGCCGCCAGAGCCTCGCTCGACCACGGCCGTGCTCGCCTGAGACGCCAACCACCGCTCGCCGCCTCCGCGCTCGCTGCCGCCGCACCGCTAGAGGCTCACCGCCTCCGCCGCCTCCTTCTTCGGGTTCGGTCGGGGAGATGGAAAAAATGATATTGGTCAACAGCAAGGAGGTAGGGTCCACCTTCAGGGGGTATATTGACGTTGGGGGCGGTCATTTTTGAAAGATGATAAAGTGACATCGACAAACTGTCACATAAAACTAGCATATGGCGTCACAAAAAACAAGTCGTCAACCGGCTCCTTGCGCCTAACATTTAGTGACGAAATTTGTTACTTTTTTGTGACACTATATACGATGTCATCACAAATGCTACTGGGGCTCATAAAATTATGACGACCAATATTTTTCCGTCACATTATATTACATTACATGACAAAAATAGGACCCGTCATAAGGGAATTTGTCATAAAAAGAAGGATTTTTTGTAGTGAGGAGGCGAACGTGATGGAGGGATCGGAGGGGACCGCTATGGCACGGGATGGACGCGGGCTTGACATGGCGGCTCGGGTTCGCTGGGGAACCTACGGCGAGCTAGTTCCGACAATAGAGAAGGAGGGAGAGGGCACGGGCGGTACTCACTACTTCCTCACCTTTACGGAAAGCCAGGTAGGTGGCTCGGTGAGTCGACGAGACGACGTAGCAGTGAACCGGTCGGCGGTGGATCTCCTGCGGCGCTGCTAGGGCTTGCGACGGTGCTAGAGCCTGAGCGAAGGCGACGTTGGGGCTTTAGGGTTCAATAGGGAGGAGGCGCGGCATGGGCGGCTTATATGGGGCCGAGCGGCGTGGAGCGCATGCCAAGCGCGGCATAGCGGAGGCGGACACGGCGGCGGAAGCAGAGTCCGGCGTGGACAAGATCAGGGGAAAGAGACGGCACTGACATGCTGGGTCGGGGTGGCGGTGAGAGGGGGCGCGGGACCGGGCTTCCAGTGATAGAGAAGAGAGGAGGGGAGCGCGGCGGCCTACTGCGATTGCTGGGTCGACTGGCTGGGGCTTCGGCCGGGGCAGCCCATAAGCTGGAAAGGAGGGAGAGCGGGAAGAAGCGGGCCTACGGGTGACGCTGGGCCGCAGTGGTGGGTGAGGCTGAGCGGCCGCCGAGAGGAGGTGGGCCAAAACCAGAGAGGGGGAGTGGGAGAGGAAGTAATTCCTTTTCCAAATCTTTTTCCTATTTTGCTTTCAAAATCAAATTCAAATGTAAACCAAATCAAATTCAAATAGAGTTTAAAATACACTTTTCAATTCAAATAAAAAATGAGCAATTTTTGGTAAGTTTTCAAAAATAATTTTTTACAACTTTTTAAATGCATTTATTTCCTAATTTTCCTTTAATTTACTTCAAAGCCAACTTCAAAAGCATTTTAAATTCATTTCGAATTTTGGATTTAACCACTCATTATGATAAATCAAATGCACCGGCATATATGCACAAACATGTTGCTACCTTGTGATGAATTTTAAATTAATGAAAATTTTTATCTTCCTATGTTTTCATGAGCACATAAATTCAAAAATTACCTCATTTTATATCTACTTCAAAAGAAGCAAATTTTAGGGTCATTTTACATTTACTTCAAAAAGGAGCAAATTTTGGGTGTTACATTGACGGTCCAGACGGCCGGACGATTCTTCGTTCGACGGCGACGGCGACGATGCCACTGTCGACGACGGCGACGTTCTTGTCTCGATCGATCGCTGTGCAAACAGGGAACAGGATTTAGTTCCACTTCCACGCACGAGCGGAGCGTGTCGATCGATCGAGGCCCCGGCCCGCCGGGGCTTGGACTGGACACAAGTCATGGTCAGGGACTAGCTGTGGAAAGAGATTGGAAATGTTTTACTAGCTGACACTGACATTGGCAGCAGGCAGGCAGGACGGATCTGCTGCTCACCTAAACCTGCCGCTGAGCCGGCTGGCTGAAACTGAAAGCGACAACGTGATGAGGAGTCTGGAGCTCGAAACATCCGCGGATGCTGAGGTTTTCCCTTTCTCCTTTGTTGAGAACCGTACGCTAAGTGCTGAAATCTGTCTCTGATGGATCGGATCAGATGGTGACCTCGTCAGGCCGGCCTCCAAATACTAGTAGTTTACTAATTAGACGACAAAGTTAATAAAGCTTGTGCTGATCTTCTTAGCCTCTGGCCAATCAGCAAGCACGCTAATCTGTTTTTGCTCTCTAGCTAGCTAGCTAGCTAGCTATAGCCGTCTTGCTAGCTGCTCAAGGTTACGTACGGTACGTGTCACGTATACATAGGCCCTGCTGGCTGCTATGGTTACAAGTTGTAGTGAAAGCAAGTTTGACACGTCAGGATCAAGACTTAATCTGTGATTTCGGCCATCCTTGTGCTGCTCTTACTAGTTGTGGGTTTCCTGTTGGTTAGACCGGCCAGATCATGTTTCACAGAGGAGCTTACTGATCGAGCACCTCCCAGCTGGGCCAGCTTGCTTATAGTACATATGAAATTAAATTTATGTTTAAATTTGTATTTTGAATTTGAAGTGCCATGTTTTAATTTGCTAACCTGATTATTGTGGTTGAAATATATGTATTACAAATATTAATCATTGAGTTATTGAGGTGAAATGATGCATATTCACGATCAATATGTTGGAATAAGGGAAAAATGAATAGGGGCTGAGTTTTAGGGTGGCGCTACTACAGTTGGGTGTAGAAATCAACCTCCCAAGGAGCCTCTATATATAGACAAGTAGAGGCCCTGATTTAGGGTTGTGCCCGAAGTGCTCTAAAGGGAATATGCCATACAAGGTAGTTATGTATGAGCGTTGAATCTGGTTGATGTGTTCTTTGTGTCATTATATTTGTCCATTAAGAAAAATGATCTACTATCGTGTCTAGCTAAATAATGAAGCCGCTCTGGCTTCATCATTTACAGATCCAACCCTAATTCAACATCTAATATATTCAAAAGAACTAAATGGTGCACACTTAAGAGAAGTAAAGCAATAACTCCGATTCAACATATAATGATTCATCATCACATAATCGATTCACTCTACAAGCAAGTGGATTCACAATAAAATCTTGAATTTGTGCTAGCAAATGAAACAAATAATTGGCAAAACAAGCAGCTCTTGTTGTGGTTATCGCCTACGTATAGTGAATTTTACCACCGCAAAGAGCACCACAAACATAGATCTATGCCGGTTGCCTCCATCGTCATTGCAAGCGAACTTCCATTGTGGTGTGCTTCCTTCTACCGATTATTGGCTTGGCAAAGACCTACCAAAAATCAAATCAATGAAATGCAAAATATTTGCATTCTTCTATTTGTATCATGCTACTATGCTTGGCAAGGGAAGCAAATCAACATATTATGCTTGGTACATGCCATCGCTATCGGTTCATGTATTGCCGGTTGTAATGTGGCAATTGTAAAGCTTGTTTCTCTAGTACGTGCCACGCCTTCCCCCTACCACTTTGGTACCGCTAGGGCCATCGAAATCACATGCCACTATCGCGATGTGGTGGCGCCAGGGCTATCCTCAACTCCTCCCCCGTCACACATCACCCTTGAACCTTTATTCTCTCTTCTCATCCCCGATCTAGATCTCTTAACTTCCACCATTCACTCTAGTTTAGGTGTAGTTTGGTGTGTTATGCAATATAATGGTGCCACGACGTGGCTGACAATGACAATGACACATTGTACATGCTCCGCCAGCCTTGGAGACTGCAACGTGGCTGACAGCAAGAATGACACATTTTTGTAATGATCCTAAGTATGATATGATGCACCTTTGTAAGGGGATGTCTAAAGATAGAATTCTATCCATTTTTTGAAGAAAAAACTTAAACCCATTTTGCTCATCTTGTAGTAATCTTAGTTGTGACTGATGATAATCACATTATAACTTACTCGCTCTATCCATTTCAAAATGTTGGTTGATTTAATTTTCCTTCGTCAAAATTCTCTAAGTTTAACCAACTTAATTCATAGAAACGTAAGTATGTACAACATTATTTTAGTTTCATTAAATCCATCATAAACATATCTTAATAGTGTATTAATTTCATGATGTAGATGTTAATATATTTTTTATATACATTTAGTTAAAGTTAGGTAACCTTGACATGGGATAAAAGCTAAAGTACCTACCATTTAGAATGGAGGAAGCACTATATATTACTAGAACATGTATGTTAGACTTTCCTTTGCACCAGGTAAGAAAGTGCCATTGTTTCATTGTGCACCTGTCCAGCCCACGCTTTTCACCAACACTTGGACCAGTGAAGTCAAAATGTGTTTTGAATTTGGACCAGGTTATATTATGTGGTGAAAGCACATCAAATATGAACCATAGAGGAAAATAAATCTCATTAGCCTAGCTAGGATCATATTTCACGAGGTTTAATTGCTCATTATATTAGGTAATGATGATGTCACACCAGTAAATTAATATCGTCTCTCTAGTACATTGGGAACAAACAAATAACATCATATATATTTATAAAAAAACAAATAACACCATATATATATATACTATATACATCGGCATCGATACAATTGTTTTGACAACATAGTACATCTGGGAAACTCTATAATTAATAAGGTCGATCTATCGTACATGTATATTCTCTCTGTATAAGAACCTAGCACCTGCCATGCAGGTCCCACATGTCAGTTTGGTGTTTGGCGGGTTTCGTTCTCTGCTGTGGTGCTGCGTGGTGTGGTGGAGCTGCAGTGGACTCCCAACCAAAAAATCTAGCATGCACAGAACGAAGAACGAACAATACAGCCTCCTGCAAGTCTCCTAGGCATATGATCTAGTGTCTTAGATGGAGAACACACTGGGGCTGGGGTCCGTCAGCTCCATCACCATCCTGCCAATGTCGTCCCAGCTGGACCCATCTTTGTAGTACATGTCGTCTAGCCCACCGGCAGCAGGGCTA